GGGCAAACTATCTCTAGATGGCAAAGTGAAAAGTGTCCTAGAAACGGCGGCAGCGGCGCAAGGAGTTAACGACCGGACGTGCTGCAACCTAGGGATCACCAGGCTAGCCTTATCGGAATAGGAATGCCCGATGTTCTTGCGAAATAGTGATAAGGAGTTGCGGAAAAGTCCTCGAAAAATGGAAGGTAATGATTCTACTACGGTGCCACAAATTCGCAAGCGGTATCTGTTGGAATTGGAGCGAATCGAAATGCAATTTACGTTCTCTATTTCCGGGCGGGGGGTGAAGGCCATAAGAGAAGATTTCCCTAGCAGCTCTCTCTCATAACAGAATGAAAGCAAGCAAGAACGAAATGAGCGCTTACCCTATCGACTGAAGCACCTTGACTTTTGGCTTTTCATTCTTTCTGCTGCAGCTGTTTAGCCAAACCAGAACGAGAGCCAATCGGGTCGATCAGAATGTCCTTATTTCACGCTTCAATGGCTCGATATGAAAGACGACCAGCTCTACAACTTTTAGTGCCATATCTTCCAAAACCAAGTTGTGTACCATCAAGTAAGCCAAGTAACGACTATCTACAACCTCTTCTTTCTCAGTGGCGTCGAATTCTCTTAGATCTAGAAAGTGCCTCATCCGGGGTGATAAAAAAGAACCATACCCTGTTGACAGTGTCCCTGTCCCTTAATCATCAGGCTACCCTCAGATTCTTCCATCGTAAGACCCTTTATGAGTAAGGTTAATCGAAGGCCGGGGAAAGTTTATTGGCAAGAGGGAACCATTTCTCACCCAGCCCTACCTACCCTATGTATTCGAGGGAGAGGCTGGAACCAAAAAAGACCAGGTTCCACACATATGAGACGTCTCTTAGGGGTACCACAAATAAAAGAAAAAAATAGCTAAAAAGAGTCTGCTTCCTTTATGATCTCTTTCTTAGAAAAGAAATTGCGTAAATTCTGCCTTTTTTGACGAAATGCTCGGAAGGAACCTTCGATATCCAACCCCAGTTGCTAACGGAACCCCTGTGTAAGCCCCTAGTAACGTACTAAAATAGGGACCCACAGGACCCTCATGGAGCGGTAAAGAGATCGATGAGTTTTTAATATTCGAGAAACTCCCGTTCCTTTCTCCTTCATTACTCTTCTGAAGATGGTTCAGGGGGAGCCGGTTCCGCCTCCGGCTGAGGAGGGAAATTTCAATCGATAGGCGGTAGCTTCGACTTTGAGCTTGGAAGCAACCTGCTATCTATCGATAGGCAAGAAAGGAGGTTGGCCGCCTATCCTAGATCTTCCCATTTCCAAGAAGATATCAGATCTATTCCCATGTTCCGATCTTTCCATTTTTTTTACCCATTTCTTTGGAAGGAGCTCCAAAAAAGACTTGACTTCAGGGCGGGGAATCTTCCTACAAGTGAGCACCAAGTCTTCAAAAAAGATACGGCAGTCAGAACAGCTTCAGTCCAAAATTGACTAAGGAAGCAAACTCGCCTTTCTTTTTGATCATTTTGATAAAGGGGGCTCCTCTAAAGGGATTCGCTAATGGCACAAGAGAGAAATTGCCAATTAACTTCCTCTATTTGTTTGGTCTAATAAAAAGATTATTCATCACCGCAAGCACTCTCGCTTAGCTACCACATGTCTTTGCTTGCTTACTTCTAAAGTAAACCAGATAGTGAGAGTTCGGCCATTTGAAGAAAAGACATCGGATTATACAAAGTGCCCCTAATGCTATGATGTTCATACGAGTCGAATAGTAAGTAAATCCGTACCCCAGTCTATTCTTTTCTTCCCCCGTAGCGGAGAAGGTTCTTTTGCTTCGAATCTTCGAGGCAAGCGGGATTGGGCATGGACGAGCCTCGACTGGGCCAGCATTGATGAAAAAAGGAGATTCTTTCAATCGAGATTTGCCCAAAAAAAAGTACAAATAGCAGCCCTCGATAATGTTGGAAGAGATGGCCTTGAGCCTGTTCTGGGTTAGACAGGCCCCCCGCGTCCTTTCTTAAGAGATGGAGGTTTTTAGCTTTCACGTGTCGAGAGGGATAAAACCTTTAGCTTTAGCAAGTACTACTACTCCTATGTTTTCGGATAGTATAACCGATTATATGATGTTCTTTTCGCTCTTGGAGTAAGAAAAATATGCATTTGATTAAGACATTGCACAATGATCCGAACACTTTGTCGCATCTCTTCGATACGAATACAGTAACGATCATAGCGATCTCCTCTGGTACCTGTTTGATACATATATAAATTTTCCACCATTTAATTGTTCTAATAATTTTATATCTTCCATAGCTCCTATCCAATATTGTAAATATTCGTAATTCATTTTTAATATGGAAATTTATTTCTAAATCGTACCATTCTATTCTTTCATTATCTAAATATAGATCTTGTAAATCTATTTCATACCATTCTTGATTTAATATATTTTCTGATTCGTAACTTTCTACTAGTATGTTTCTTCCTTAGTTTCTCGTTATCCATAGCTCTGATACCATTTTTCGGTGCGGAATTGGTAGTTGAGGGATTCATATAAGTGGTAGTGTGGTGGGTGGTAGTATGGTAGGTGAGTAATTTGTTTTAACCATTTTTATTAAAATATTTTTTGTTAAGTGTTTTAATCTTGATATCTCT